ACCCCAAAAAAGCGTTTTTTCTCCTCCCCAAAATGAGTTTATTCAAGGAAAGCTTGCCTTGCAGTGGAGAAAAGCAGTTTGCCCGTTAAAAAAGCGGCTTTTCCAAAAAAAAAGCAGGTTTTTCACCAAAAAAGGAGCTTTTTTACAAAAAAAGGGAGATTTTCCACAAAAAAAGGAGGTTTCCCACCAAAAAAGAGCTGCTTTTCCACAAAAAAGCAGCTTTCCCACCAAAAAAGCATATTTTTCCCCAAAAAACCCCACCTTTCCCACCAAAAATCCACCTTTTCCCTGAAAAATCCACCTGTTCCACCTAAAATTCTACCTTCTTCCCAAAAAATCCACCTTTTCCTCCCACCAAAAAATCCACTTTTTTCCCTAAAAATCCACCTTTTCCACCTAAAAATCCACCTTTTTCCCTAAAAATCCCCCTTTCTTCCCAAATTCCATCTTCTCTCCCAAAAAAATCCATCTTTCTCACCCCAATTTTGGCCTCTCTCAACACCCCAAGTTGGGTTGGCCATTTTGACCACGAAGAGTTGGCCATGGTTGGGTTGACCATGGTGAGTACAACCCTCCCACATTTGGGGGTTCCTTGGGTACACCCCCCATCTCTAGGTGGGTTTTTGGGGATTCAGGGGTCCCCCCCACCCCAATTTTGGCCCCCCCAGGTCCATTTTAATACCTCCTGTGTTGGGTTGACCATGAAGAGTTGGCCATGAAGACTTGGCCATGGTTGGGTTGGCCAAGGTTGGGTTGACCATGGTGGGCACAACCCCCTCACCTTCGGAGGTTCCTTGGAGACACCCCCCATCTCTGAGTGGGGTTTTTGGGGGTCCAGGAGACCCTCCCACCCCCTTGTTACCCCTCCACCCCCAGGAATTTCAATGAGGCTCTGTAGTGTCCCAATGGCCCCTTGATTCCAGGAGTTTCCGCAATGTCCCAATAACCCCTTGGTTCCATGAGGCCCTGCAGTGTCCTAATGGCCTCCTGATTGCACAAGGTTTTGCAGTGTCTTGGTGTTCCTTTTGTTCCATGAGGGTCTGCAGTGTAACAGGGTCCCTTTGGGGCCATAAGGCCCTGCAGGGTCACAACAGCCCCTTGATTCCATGAGCTTCCACAGTCTCCAAAGGGTCCTTTAGTTCCATGAGGCCCTGCAGTCCCAAAATGCCCTTTGGATTCTTGCAGATTTCCCATTGTCCCAGGGTCTCTTGTGCTTCAGAAGGAGCTGCAGTGGGACAGTGGCCCCTTGGTTTCATCAGCTCTGCAGTGTTCCAGGAATCCTTGGGTTCCAGGAGAGCCTGCAGTTTCACAAGGACCACTTGAATGCAGGAGGTTTTGCAGGGTCCCAATGGCCCCTGGATTCTGGGAGGTTCAGAAATATCTCAGGGCTGAGAAAACTGGGATTGTTCAGCCTGGAGAAGAGCAGGCTTTGGGGTGACCTAATTGTGGCCTTGCAGTGCCTGAAAGGGAGCCAACAAGAGAGATGGAGAGAGACTTTGGACAAGGGCCTGGAGTGACAGGACAAGGGGCAGTGGCTTCAGATGGACCGAGGGAAGGGTTGGAGGAGATAGTAGGAAGGAATTCTTGACTCTGAGGGTGCTCAAATGCTCTTGAAGGCCCCTCCAAAGCCAAAGCATTCCATGATTGTGGGACTGGTGGGTGAGGTGGTGGTCGGAGCCGTCTGGGGCAGAGTGACACAAAATGAGGGAGTTTTCCATTGTGGGGGAAGGAAGGAGGGGGCAGCAGAACTGACCCCTTGGACACCTGGCAGGCAGGCTTTGGCTGGAAGCTGCTGATGGGGAGCTGAGTGAAGCCCCCACAATGCAGGAGGAAATGGTCAGTGACCTGCTCTGCCAGTGAGACCC